TTCCACTGATTTTGACATTTTATTTACAGTTCCTGATCTGGGTCATCCAGATCTGATCAAGAAACCACTAAAAATGAGATCTTTTGAGAAATTCAAGATTTGGGTTTTGTTAATCTGCTTGGTGTTTGAATTGGGTTATGGGTTTTATCTGCCTGGAAGTTATCCTCATAAATATGGGGTTGGTGATTTGTTGAATGTTAAGGTGAATTCATTGACTTCAATTGACACTGAGTTGCCTTATAGTTATTATAGTTTACCTTTTTGCCAACCACAAGAGGGTGTGAAGGATAGTGCTGAGAATCTTGGTGAGCTTCTTATGGGAGATAGGATTGAGAATTCTCCTTATAGGTTTAAGATGTATACTAATGAGACTGAGATTTTCATGTGTCAAACTAAACCTTTGTCTGGTGAGGAGTTTAAGCTTTTGAAGAAGAGGATTGATGAGATGTATCAAGTGAATTTGATTCTTGATAATTTGCCTGCTATTCGATATACGAGGAAGGCAGGTTATTTCTTGCGGTGGACTGGTTATCCGGTTGGGATCAAGGTTCAAGATGCGTATTATGTGTTTAATCACTTGAAGTTTACGGTTCTTGTTCATAAGTATGAAGAGACCAATGTGGCTCGTGTTATGGGTACTGGGGATGGAGCTGAGGTGATCTCAACAGTTGGAAAGGATGGATCTGAGGAACCTGGTTACATGGTTGTTGGGTTTGAGGTTGTTCCTTGTAGTGTTCAACATGCTCCTGATTCAGCAAAGAACTTGAAAATGTACAATAAGTACCCGACTCCAATTAAGTGCGACCCTACAACTGTTGCCATGGCTATTAAAGAAAATGAGCCTGTTTCGTTTACTTATGAGGTGAACTTTGTGGAAAGTGACATTAAGTGGCCATCAAGATGGGATGCTTATTTGAAGATGGAAGGTGCAAAGGTGCATTGGTTCTCTATCCTTAACTCCCTTATGGTGATCACTTTCTTGGCTGGAATTGTGCTTGTAATCTTCTTGAGGACTGTCAGGCGGGATCTGACAAGGTATGAGGAGCTTGACAAAGAGGCTCAAGCTCAGATGAATGAGGAGTTATCCGGGTGGAAACTTGTGGTAAGTGATGTTTTCAGGGCTCCAAGTAATCCAGGACTTTTGTGTGCGATGGTTGGAGATGGGGTTCAAATTCTAGGGATGGGTGTTGTGACTATCATGTTTGCTGCCCTCGGATTTATGTCCCCAGCTTCTCGTGGAACATTGATTACCGGCATGCTATTCTTCTATATGATTCTTGGTGTTGCAGCTGGTTATGTTGCTGTTCGTCTCTGGAGGACAATCTTCTGTGGCGATCACAAGGGCTGGATTTCAGTCTCATGGAAAGCTGCTTGTTTCTTCCCTGGAATTGCTTTTCTCATTCTAACCACATTGAACTTCCTGCTATGGGGTAGTCACAGCACAGGGGCCATACCATTTTCTCTGTTTGTCGTCCTCATTTTACTTTGGTTCTGCATTTCCGTTCCTCTAACCCTAGTCGGTGGTTATTTGGGGGCAAAGGCTCCTCACATTGAATACCCAGTCCGAACCAACCAGATCCCCCGTGAAATCCCACCACAAAAATATCCATCTTGGCTTTTAGTTTTGGGTGCAGGCACCCTTCCTTTCGGTACTCTGTTCATTGAGCTCTTCTTCATCATGTCGAGTCTCTGGATGGGTCGTGTCTACTATGTCTTCGGCTTCCTCCTCATTGTCATGATCCTTCTCGTCATAGTCTGTGCTGAGGTCTCTCTTGTTCTGACTTACATGCATCTTTGTGTGGAGGACTGGAAATGGTGGTGGAAATCCTTCTTTGCCTCCGGATCAGTTGCTATATACATTTTCCTCTACTCTGTTAACTACCTAATCTTTGATCTCAAGAGCTTGAGCGGGCCTGTTTCTGCTACCCTTTACCTTGGATATTCCCTCTTCATGGTCCTTGCCATCATGCTCGCGACAGGCACGGTCGGGTTCCTTTCCTCCTTCTGGTTTGTACATTTCTTGTTCTCTTCAGTGAAGCTGGATTAAAGAAGTCTCTTATGGCAGAAAGAAACAAAAGAACCATTGAAGAAACAGCTGCAGATGTGTCTTTAAGTCATTCTTGTTTACTTTTTATTGTCATAATACTATCATTTTGTAGGGTATTTGGAAGAGAAAGCCAATAAACTCCTCAAGTTTTGTTAAATTCTTTAATAGTCAAGTGTTGCTTGATATAGTTGACTAATAGCTTCATTGGTTGGGATAATCATATTTGGATGTGCCTATAGTGATGGATTCAGTTGGTAAATCTGGTTTGTACATTGCATTAACTCAACTCATCATGATTCTTGAATCACTTTTTTGATTATTCCTTTTTCGATTTGCTTTGATATGTTTTTTTCTTGAGCCGAGGGTCTATGGGAAACAATCCCTCTACCTTCTACTGTAGGAATTAGGTTTGCGTACATTCTATTTTTTTAAGCCTCACTTGTGGTTCTGAATAATATTAGAAGTCATAGAACAACATTAAGAGTCCCCTTTGGAGTATGGCTTTCTAGTTAGCTAGCAATCGTCCACATTGAGTTATTGGATACTTGATTCAGGTGCCACTAATCAATTTTTTTTTTTTTACATTTTAAAACTCCGTATGACCGTTAAAACCAAACAAATTGAAATTGAGAGGGAGCACTTAAATTCTATGGATTCCCTCTTGGATCGTTCAATTGTTTGTTTCTTTATATTTTTATTTAGCATGTGTTTGTCTTTTTAATAATAACTTTATGTTAAGCTGAGAATTAATGTACTCTGATGAGATTCCATTCCTAAAAAGTCTATCTAGTGATATGAGTAATGAAACAATTCAACATCAATTGATCATAAGCTGTGTTTCATAAAGGGTGTTCAGAAATTGCTTAAGTACATTTTTTTGACAAACAAGTGTACAAAATTAAAATACTTAATATTAATAAGTGAGCGTGCTCTTCTTAAAAAGTGAAAAAAAGAAAAAAAGAGTTGCTGGTTTTTAGGCGCCTGAAACCATTGGGCAATATGTTATTTAACCACTTCATTTATCATTCTACTTGTATATACGGTGCTCTAAGGGACACCCTAGAGTGTAGCTCCACCCTTGATTGTAAGCATCATGTTTCTCAGTGGACGGGGCAGAGCCAAGTAAGGCGAGGGGTTCATCTGAACCCTCTTCTTTTTATTCCTTTAGACTTATTTATGTGTTTACTCCTTGCGTTTTTTCCATCCCTCACAATCCGGCCACAATTTATTACTGTAATATTGGCAAAAATATTGTTCTAATTGATTAGCCAAACACAAACGCTTACTCTCTAAAAATATTTTTTTGAAAATTATTTCGGATTAATAAACAGATTTTAAACTGTGTATGCTCTTGTTTCTAGAGATTTTTTACCACCAGATTTTTTGTCCTTTAAATCTCTTTAGAACCACAAAATGTGCTCACTAAAACTCTGTAATACAATAATAATACTGTATGCTAAAAACCCTTTAATACCAATAATTAAACCTGGTCGTTATTGACTTTTAGCATTTATGGAGTCATAGCCAAATTCAAAATTTAAAATTTATCAGTTTTTACAACAACTTCAAGTAATATAATAATAAAAATTGAGTTCATAGTTAAATATTTATAAACATTTAGAAGAATTATTGATATAAATACCGAAGTGATTGAATTCTTGTGAACCCGTATGTTATATTCTAGATTCGCCTGTGAATTGAGCCAATAATGGAGGGGGCAATCGACCATTGTATAGAATGAACTATAGTAAGACTTGTAGGGACTAGTGTTCCCACCACACAAAATAATCAAAAAGCTGTAAAATAAAGAAAAATTATACATCAATGTTACTATACATCATAATCACATAGTATTAGCTTTACATAAAGCAAAGAAGACTCACTATATATTTTAATCACATATTAGCTTTACATAAAGCAAAGAAGGCTCACTATATATTTTAATCACATATTAGCACTCACTATATATTTTAATCACATATTAGCTTTACATAAAGTAAAGAAGACTCATTATATATCATAATCACATATTAGCTCACGGTAAAATAAAGAAGACTTATGCATCAATGTACTATATATCATAATCACATATTAGCTCGACATAAAGTAAAGAAGACTTATGCATCAATATAATGTACTATATATCATATTAGCTCAACATAAAGTAAAGAAGACTTATGCATCAATATAATATACTATATATTATAATCATATATTAGCTTGACGTAACATAAAGAAGACTTCTGCATCAATCACTATATATATAATCGCATATTAGCTCACTATAAAGTAAAGAAGACTTCTGCATCAATGTACTATATATCATAATCACATATTAGCAAACTATAAAGAAATGAAGACTTATGCATCAATGCACTAAATATCATAATCGTGTATTAGCTTGCCAAAATGTAAAAAGGACTAAAGCATCAGTGTACAATCATAATCAGATATTATAGCTCAATTTTATTGACGGCTTGAAGACAAAGCCGTCTATTTCTTAAAACAAAATTTTGCAGCTACAATCACGATCTCAACAACAACAACATAAGCATATAATCTCACAAGTGGGGTTTGGGGAGGGTGGGGTGTACGCAACCTCACCCCTACTTTGTGAAGTTAGAGAGATTGTTTCCAATGGATACCTCGGTTCAAGTAAAACATATCAAATGAGGCATGGAAAGGGAAACAGTAGATACAATCACTATCTCCACTATTCAAATTAAGAATAGGATGTTAAAAAGACCAGCTCGATCCAACAATGATGAATCGAAAATTCAAATTAAATATTAACCGGACCAAAACATTTAAAAATAATAATATGGATCCCACTTGTAAAGTTATTACTTTTTTCGTTTGTCGAGAAGTGGGGAAGCCTTAGCAGGGCCTATTTCAAAAGTCTAATGATGTTTGCAGAATTTTGTGCCATCATAAGATATGATTCAACCAGAGAATGAAGCAGTAATACATACCAGTATACATGAAGATGCAGATAACCATGTGGTCATTTTTCATTCTTCTGACGGGGCTGCTTTCTAAAGAAACAACACAAGTTTCAGCTATAAGAATATGGTCAACATCAGCAAAATTATCTTCACAAATGCCACGATGCCCAGAAAGATGTGGCAATGTAACCATTCCTTTTCCATTTGGAATAGGAAAAGGGTGTTACTTCAATAAAGCATTTAAAGTGAGCTGCGATAACAACACTGCTTTTAGTCACGGTAATGGTATGTATGTGCAATACATATCAAAGGACTCCATCACGGTTGATATTACTTTAGATTCGCACCCCTACGACAAATCATCTGGAATGAACTTTTACAGTGATACAATTGATAAAGGAGCTGGCGGCGAGCATTTCAGTTTTTCCAACAAGAACAAGTTTGTAGCCATTGGGTGTGACATTTATGCTAATGTCAAAGATTCAGACACTGGTAGCAGTGTAAGTGGATGTGCTTCTTACTGTGACAACTCCACTAATAATGTTTCATCCTCTTCAGCTTCATCATCATATTGCACTGGGAATAACGGTTGTTGTCAGTCTGAATTTTCAAAAATAATACCAAGAGAGTTCACCATGTCCACACAAACAATGAACACGGAGAACACATCGTGGAGAACTAGCAATTGCACCTATTACTTAATTATAGAAAAGGGCACTTCTGAGTCTGACTTCACTCAGTTACGTGGTAAGTGCAAAGAAGACGATTCTTACAAAGGAAGGATGGTGCTGGACTGGGTGATTGGCAATGTTAGTTGCAACAAAGCCATGAGAAGGCCAAAATATGCATGTAGAAAGAACAGCAGGTGCATCGATGATACTACTAGACCTGCTGGGGGTTACCGATGCGATTGCTCTTCTGGTTATCAAGGCAACCCTTACCTCTTTCATGGATGCCAAGGTACTAATTCCCCTGTTCATTTCTCTTTTTTGTTTTTGTGATTTAACTTGTGTATATTACTACCTCCGTTTTAGCATACGTATCTTATTTTTGTTTTTAGTCTGTTTCAACAACGAACTTCATGTTTTTCTATATTTAGTAAGTTTTTAATTCCTACATTTCATATGTTACGCTTAATAAGACTCCCTTATAGGATTGACATGGAATCTCTAAGATCACAGGATTTAAAGTACTTTTAGGGGTTGTTTGGTACAAAGATTAATAACGCAGGGATTAGTAACACATGAATTAGTAATGTAGAGATTAATAATGCAGGAATTATTTTTTATTAAGTGTTTGGTTCATTGATTCCCACCTAATTTTGTGTTTGGTTTAAAACTCTACAAAAAGCTTCTTTCCAATTGTACCCTTACATTATTATAGGATTTTCTATTTCATGTAATCGGGAAGGTAGATAACTGTCGGACAATATTTTTTTTTTGTGGCCTTCTAACTAGCTAGGAGAAGAACAATTTTGTCACCATGTTTGCTATTTTCTCACTTGAATTATTTGAGGGTAAATAATTGTTATCTTAATAAATTGATCACTCACAAAACGTCAATTTTCAATTGAAAAAAAGATAAACCATCTACTTTTAAAATAAAAAAGACCGTAAACGGTAAACAATAGTAAAATCGAACAAACCATCTTCGTTTACACATAAAATTGCAAGTTATAGTTTTAATATGTATGCAATTTTATAAATTATTCAAAATACCTGGGCCTGATTCAACCCCAAAAGCCAGCTCATGAGGGGAGGATTGCTCAAGTCCATATAAGGAGACCACCAGTCTATTCCCCAACCAATGTGGGGCTTTTATCCACTCTAACACCCCCCTTCACGCTCAGGGCCAATTGACGCGTGGAACGGGTGCCCAAATGGGGATGAATCTGGCTTTGATACCATGTAAAGATATGAGACCTGGGCCTAACTCAACCCCAAAAGCTAGCTCATGAGGGGAGGATTACTCAAGTCCATATAAGGAGACCACCAGTATGCCATGTGGCCATATATTTGCTTTTTTCGATTAGTAAATGTTAAACAACTCACATTTCAAATATTATACTGAATTTATTTTGCAACAAACAACTCTCTCTAAATAATAAAATTTGTAAGCTAATTTATTTAAATAAATTTACTAGTACAAATATAAGACATAAAACCAAGAAAATAAACAGAATGATTAAAAGGATTTGACGGATATTTTTGTCTTTACATATATTGATCCCATGGTATTAAATCCCATGTATTACTAATACCACCAAATAGAAGGTATTAGTTATACACCCTATAATACCATAGTGTATAACTAATACATGCATTAGTTATACATATGCCCAAAATTCCTACCAGACACAGTACTAAGTAATACCATACATAATACATGGATTATTTCTCCTAATACACTCTACCAAATACCAAATGACCCCTTAGTGTGTTATACACCTTTATCTTTGATGTGCTAGATTGTTTATAGGCAGCAGTTTAGACTAAGACTATTTTATTCTGTAAGTTGTAACACTTTTGAAGGGAAACTACACTTTTGTTGTAGTATACCTATGGATATATAGACTAAAGTTACCAGTTTAAAAAAAAAATAAAATGTTTCAATACAATCATTGAAATGAAACAAAGAGAGCAACAATATAACAATATCCCACTGTACCCCTTTATTTTGACTTGTTTTTAGCATGTAACATGTCTTATTTTCTAAGTTACTAATCTCAGTTTTTATGATAATTACTTGTTAATTTCCACAGACATCGACGAGTGTGCAAGTCCAAAAAGAAATCATTGTCCCAACAATACTCGCTGTGTTAATACTCCTGGCAGTTACCATTGTGACTCAAATAATGTGAGACATACGCTAGCTAAACAACTCTCCATAGGTATTGTATAACTCTCTTCTTTGTCTTCTTTTTTCCCCTCTTGTTTCTTTGTTAGATTAGATTAGGCTTTCTCTAGCTTTTTATTTGAGACAAATTACATCTTTGAACTGTCCCAACAAATGATTAATGATCCTTTTCATGTCATGACCTAACTAAAGACATTATAACATTTATTCTAGCTAGCTGTTCTTTAGAAAATTAGAAGCTTAACTTAAGCTTTAAAATTACAAAGGAGCCTGGAAAAGCATTTACAGCCCTTTCTCTTACTCTTAGATTCTCAAAATGAATTTATGCTTGTAATGAATTTATGCTTGAGACAAGCAGGTATTGGCGCAGCAATTACTTTTGTGATCCTGGTAGCAGTTTGTCTTTGGCTATGCAAATGGCTCCGGAAGAGGGAAGAAAACAAGGCTAAGCAAAAGTATTTCAAGAGGAATGGTGGATTGCTTTTGCGACAACGTATTTCCTTAAATGGAGAAAGTAGTGGTGGCTCTTTGCCAAAGCTCTTTTTGAAGGAGGAGTTGGAGAAAGCAACAGACTATTTCAATGAAATTCGAATTCTTGGTAAAGGAGGGGCTGGGACTGTTTACAAAGGAATGTTATCAGATGGAAGCATTGTAGCTGTGAAGAAGTCCAATGCAGTGGATAAAGATCAAATTGGACAATTTATAAATGAGATACTCATACTCTCCCAAATAAATCACAGACACATTGTCAAGGTACTGTTGATTTTTGTACTACGCTCCTGCTACCATTTTATTATGAATGGAAGAAGAGAGCAACACAATTCGACGATAGAGAAATTTATAATGCCTAAAGAGGATTGAAGAGCGAACTTATAATATTAGAAAGACTCCTATACTCTTACAAGATAACAAACTAGACTTACACACACGCGCAGTCGCACACACAGAGCTACTACATCAACTCGTGCTGCTATTCACTTCAACCATAATAAACGAACAGTTTAGGATAACTCATTAGTCAATCATGAACCAAAGATAACTCAAAATTACAATTGAACCTAGCACTTGATCACACTTTTAACATTTAAGTTTACTGTTTACAACAGGTACTTGGTTGTTGCTTAGAAACTCAAGTCCCATTGTTAGTTTATGAGTACATCTCGAATGGAACCTTGTCATCCCATATTCATGGAAACCTCAGTCACAGTTCTAACCCTACTGTCTCAAAGTCTGAGTTGGATGATCAGATTCTTCCGCACCCAGCAATAATATTATCGTGGGATCATCGGGTGCGAATTGCTGCAGAAATAGCAGGGGCACTATCTTACATGCACTCATGTGCTTCTACTCCCATTCTTCACAGAGATATAAAATCAAACAACATATTACTAGACAATAATTTTAGAGCAGTGGTTTCTGATTTTGGACTATCGAGATTGTTGTCTGTTGACAAGACTCATTTAACAACAATGGTAGGGGGTACATTTGGTTACATAGATCCAGAATACTTCCGCTCAGGTCAACTTACAGACAAATGTGATGTCTATGCCTTTGGTGTAATTCTTGCAGAGCTGCTAACAAGTCAAAGAGTTGTCACTTCAAACCAACCAGAAGATCCAGGTTTGGTTATCCGTTTCACATTAGCATTGAAAGAAAATCGTATAATTGAGATTGTAGATCCTGAAATTGTAAAAGAAGTTGAGGATGAACATGTGATTCTTGCTGTGGCCAAACTTGCCAAGAGATGCTTAAATTTTAATGCAAGGAGAAGGCCATCCATGAAGGAAGTGGCAGCTGAACTTGAGAAACAAGGAAAAAGGAGGCAAGATCTGCCTCATGATGAGAGTTTTCAAGATAACATTTTGCCAGAAAGTGAAAGTTCATGTAGTCATACTTCTGATTGTACCGAAGAAGATAATCAGAACTCAGTGTCTCACAATGAAATGCATTATGACAGAAAGGGAAGTTTGTAACTTTTAGAACTTCAACTTTTATCTTTTGTAGTTGTAATGTTGAAGTAATTGCATATATGGACACATAATCAAATGAAGATTAGCATGATTTACATTAATATTTAAGTCGTATATATGATTTGTTATGATTTTATTTTATTATCCTTTATAATAGGATTGTTCATGGGGTTTGATTCGGTTTTCATCAAAAGCAAAACTAGACCAACTATATAGCTTTTTTTTATTTTAATTTGAAGATCATGGTGTCCAGGCTACCTCTCACGCCACGGGATACCTTCCACCTCCCACCGGCAATAGGGATTAGGTAACTCTGTCCACCAAAGCTAGGACTGATGGGAAGAATCACCTAGTGTTTTGTTTCCAGTGAGTTTTGAACTTGAGACCTCATGGTTCTCAACCACTTTATTGACCACTAGGCCACACCCTTGGGTGCTTTTTGGTTTGGCTTTTTCTTGGAAAATAAAATTAAAATCTAGTTCATTCAATCTATCAGAGTTATGGACAAACTTTTCCATATGATAATGTATGCTACTTATAATGTTTAGCAAGATTTGCACTAATATGAAATATTCTTATGTGAGAAATTTTCTCCATAGTAGATGATAATTATTCCCTTTCATTAAGCTAGGTTACATCAATATAAGCTTTTAAGCCTGCCAATTTTTTTAAATTATACTAAATAAACAAATGAATCCCATTTTTTTTCTATATAAACGTAAAACTTAAAATGAAACCTTAACAATAATATGTTTCTCTACTTCTATTAAGGCATAATAGTTTAAGATCCCCCTGAATTTGATACCTACAGCTGAACTGTTTTTTGGTAGAGTTTTATTTTATTTTATTTTAGTAAATTTTTATTTTTTACACTTGTAGACAGAAAAAGAAGAAATACACAGCTGAAACAAATCATCATTGCATCTAAAAAGAAATACATAGTTGAAAAGTTCATTATTTTGGCTAACTATTTTTATTTGGTTAAAAATAATGGAGCTCTAGCAATTTCTTTTATAGATTTTGCCCAAAAAAGAAAAAGTACACAGATGAAATATGTAGTTGTTGGTCTCTTAATAAGAAATAGAAAGGAAATTTACCCCTTTTTTTGTAAGTATACAGAAAGTTTACACCGAACAAATGGTGTCAAGTTCAGGGTGGTCCCAAATTTTTTGTTGTTGTTGATAAAGATAATGTAAGGGTGGTCCTGAACCATTAAGCCTTTTTTAAGAACTATTGATAAAACAATATCAAATAACAATTAGTTTAATAAATCTTCGCTTGTGAAAATGAAAGACAGATTTGAAGTACTTAAACAATACTTGCTAAGATAGTGATCATACACGTTATACCCACACATTTAATTAAACAATAATGAATCCTTTATTATAATCATTTCCAAAACGACATATTTTTATTATAGTCTTCTATAAAAATAAATGTCGTTTTGGTTCATCTTTTTCCAGTATAAGACCAAACCAAATACATGTCTCTCTTTTTAGTCGGTTTGATTCATTTTTCAGTTCAATTTTGCTCGGCTTTTCAGTTTTTCTTGAGCAGCCTTACTTTGTTATATTGTTGGTGCTTGCTTTAAGATAAAAAAGATAGCAGAGAAATTATTTTAACCTTCCAATGTAACTTTTGAAATTAGACTATATGAGTTAGAGTAAAGTCAACACAAAGTAACCATGAAAAGGTTTCAGAATTACCAGTGGACAAATTGTGCAGAAAACTAATTTATGATTCAAACGAAGTTCATGCTATTATTTATTAAAGTAATATGTTGAGGTGATACTTTATCAAGGTATCAAGGTAGTCGCAAGGATTATCAATTGAGTTTAACTAAAGTGTAGACCACACATATTTTAAGTTGTATCTATTAACATAAAACATGTGCAATCAATTTATGAAGCTATTAATAGGGTGATGGTTAGAGAGGTGCTGGGTGTCTCGAGAGGCCGTTCTGGTGGCCATAGAGTGGACTGGTGGTGGAATGGAGAAGTACAAGGGAAAGTGGACCCAAAGAAGCTGGCTTATGAGAAGTTGGGGGAGAGTAAGACAAGAAGGAGAAGTGGACGAATAGGGAGAAGTATAAGCTAAGATGGTTTAAAAGGAGACAGTTAGCGGTTACTACAGCAAAAACATCAGCCTTTGAGCGCTTGTACGTAAAATCAGCGAACACAGATGAGGATAAGAAGTTATACAAGTTAGCTAAGGCTAGAGAGAGGAGGGCCCGTGACTTTGATCAAGTGAAGTGCATCAAGGATGAGGATGACAAAGTACTGGTAGAGGAGGTACTCATTAGTTAAGGCATTGTGCTAGGGGATTTGGAGCACTTAGAGAGGCGTCGTGAATAGTGATTATGTTTATTCTAGGCGTATAAAGGTTGAGGAGGTTAAGGTTGATATTCATAAGTTGTGTAAGGGTAGAGTGACTAGTAGATGAAGTTTAGGTGGATTTTTGGAAGAGCATAGGCAGGGCAGGTATGGAGTGGCTTACTGAGTTGTTTAGTGTTGTTTTCAAGATGACGAAGATGCCCGATGCATGGAGATGGAGTATGATTATTTTGTTGTACAAGAATAAGGGTGACACTCAAAATTGCAACAACAATAGGGGTATCAAACTGCTAAGCCAGACTATGAAGGTATGAGAGAGCGTGCTGGAGATGAGAGTGAGGAGGATTGTGACAATTTTTGAGAACCAATTTGGATTTATGTCAGGACGCTCGACTACAGAATCCATTCATCTCGTAAGGAGACTGGTGGAGCAGTATAGGGAGAGGAATAATGATTTGCATTGGTATTCATCGACCTAGAAAAGGCTTACAACTAAGTCCCCAGGGAGGTTCTATGGAGATGTTTAGAGGCTAGAGGTATACCTGTTGGCCGTGGCGTACATTAAGTCGATTAAGGACATGTACAATGGTGCCAAGACTCAAGTTAGGGCAGTGAGAGGAGACTCAGAACACTTTCCCATGTTAATAGGGTTGCATCAAGGATCAACTCTTAGCCCGTTTCCATTTGCCTCGGTGATGGACGTATTGACGCGATAAATTCAAGGTGAGGTGTCATGGTGTATGTTATTTGCGGACGACGTAGTTTTGATTGACGAGACTCACGAGGGAACTAATGCTAAGTTGGAGGCTTGGAGACAGACCCCTAGTGCCTAAAGGGTTCAAGTTGAACAAGACCAAGACTGAATACTTAGAGTGCAAATTCAGTGTTATGACACATGAGGCTGACATGGAGGCTTGATACACAGGTCGTCCAAAAGAGGGGCAGTTTCAAGTATCTCGGAACCTAGTATGCATGCTTAAGCCCTGAAGAGGACTTTGTTGAGTTAATTATGTATGATATTGTGCAACCTAATAATCCCTAAAACCAACTCCAAAATATTGTATTAAATATATATATATTTATATATATATATAGTGTTAAATGGTTATGTTCCACATGGTGATCATGTTGAGGTTTAGCCATAGATCAAGGGTTCAATTTCATATTTCAGACAATGATAGTCCTATAAAGGGTGCTAGCACATGCCCCCGGATGATCATTACCATGTGTATACACGAAGTTTCAGTTAACCAGCAACATCTCAATGATAAGCATTCTCAATCAGAAAGTGCAATGCCTTAGTCAGAGTGAACTATCTAACCATGTTAAATCAACATGACAGTGTAAAATCCTTCACAAAGCTAAGGAATTCATTCAGACACTTAAACAAACACCTTACGGACAACCATTTTGAATCAACATGGCAGTGAAATATCCTTCACAAAGCTAAAGAGTTCATTCAGATACTTAAACAAACACCTTACAGGCGACCATTTTCCCTGATTGCCTTAATAACCTCATGAAGTCAAATTCCACCCCTACCCCACCCCACCCACTACCACCATCACCCATCAACAACAAATCACACAGTCAACCCATAAATTCAGACTTGCTATGAAATTACTAAGACAAGTGTGAAGAAATTTCATACCTAAAATTTACTAAGGCAGTCTGATACACAAAACATCCTCGCATTTACCCAGGTTCTTGGGAATGACTGCACACCAAGATCCTAAATCTCAATTTGGCAGTAGAAGTTGCTTTTGGGTATTGCATTTTATTTGAATAAAAAGTTAACAACTTTGTTTGGATAATTGTTACCTATTCCAACTACTTGTTAGTTTGAATACAATAGTACTATATATTTTGATTGTCTAAATTATATTGTATGATATCTTTAAATTCATAATGACGTAATGACGAAAAGTCTCATTTTGTATCCTACTTTTCTTTTAAATCTGTCCTTCAAATGGTGAAGGTCATTTTGTATCCTACTTTTCTTTTAGATTTGTCCTTCAAATAGTGAAGGACAGATGACAATATAGTCTATCCATATGTTACATAATAATTCCGAAGTCTCGCGAGTGGAAAAAGACTTTTTACTTGATATTAGACTCTATGAATATGCCCCTAATTTGCCTTTTTTAGATCGTTACGAGATAGCAATAACAAGAGATTGATTGGAATCAAATGCCTCAGTACTGCTCTCTTTTCTAAGAAGCTTTTGCAACATTTTAAGTCAAAGAAATATAAATTAGACAGAAAGGTCACTCAACTGATCTCTTGCCTTCATAAAAATATCTTTCTCTACATAGTAGGACATTTTTATAGGTCACAACCTCAACTCCACGTAGTTTAAGTAGGCCTATTGAAGAAAATAAACTTGTCCTAACTAGAATGACATTACGTGGTAACAAAAACACCACCTCTGCCTCAAGAGAGTTTTCATTTGGGCCTTTTCCCGCAAAACAGAACCCCATCCCGAGGGGGAGAGGGAAGGAAAAAAAGTAGTGTTTGGTTTTCTTTATGGATGCCAGCTTTTTCCTTGTGCCAAACTGTCGATCCCTTACGTAATTGCACCCCATAATAGCGTGTTTTCTGAAATATCCTCTTTCGTTTTTGGTTCCATTTCCTTGTTTCATGGAGAAGTAAGATGAGTTGTTGAGCAAA